ATGTGTCTGGCTACAGGTGGCGTCTGGGTCAGTGAACACCTGAATGTTGGCAGATGTTGCATTAGTCCTGTGTTTTTTTTTTTTTTTTTTTGTGGCAAAAGCATACCCAGCCTTAGATATGTACCCCATTTGGACAGTGCCTACGTGCACAAATCAGGGACATTGGCCACGTTCTTCAGGTTGTACTGCTCTTCTCACCCTCCGTGTCACATTCTTCCACCCTGCGATCAAACACTCCCTGCCCCCCAGCCTCCCATCTGACTTCTGAGATGCTGACATCAGTTTGATCTCATGGGGATACTTCTAACAAGTGCATAGCTTTTTAAACATGATCCTGAGATGGAGGGACATTCCTGCTGGAAGTCGCCATCCTGAGGGTGGACGGTGTCCTCACTGTCGTTCTTGCTGGGGCCCAGCCAGGACAGCTCAGCTCTGCGGGTCTCAGCCCCCGTACACTGCCCAGGCCTGTTTTTCAAGTGTATCACGTGCCAGACAAGGCGTGAGGATATCTTATTGATGCCTCGATCACCCACCTGCTTCTCCCTCCCGTCTGCAGATGTGACAGTTAATGCCCATGGGAGGTGATAGACTCAGCTCCAAACACAGACCCTCACTTGGGTCCTGACCTCCTGCTCTCTCACTTGATGTGAATCCTGTGTTCTGTGGGAAGCTAGGAAAGACAGAAGAGTTGGGCAGACAACCCCGAAGCAGCCCATTTCATTTTTGTGCCGTCTCCATCTTGTTGCTGTCTCCGAGCAGCGGTTGTGTTCACAGAGACGAGCATATTTCAGTAGGTCATCTATTGCTGCTGTAACAGAAGTGCCAGAAGTCAGAGGCTTCAGCAAACACAAGTTTATTCCCTCCCCACCTGCTGCTGTTCTCAGGTGCTGCCGAGTCAGCTCCAACTCATGGCAACCGTCTGTGCGACAGGACGGAACGCCGCCCGGCCCTGCGCCAGCCCCGCGGCCGTCTGTGCGACACGACGGAACGCCGCCCGGCCCTGCGCCAGCCCCGCTGTTGGAGCCGCTGTGTCGGTCCGGCCTGTTGAGGGTCTCCCTCTCTTTCACTGACCCTCTGCTTTACTGAGCATGATGCCCTTCTCCAGGGACTGGTCCCTCCTCACAACATGACCAGAGTATGAGAGACGAAGTCTGGTCATTCTCAATCCAGGCAGCAGTCTGGCTGTACTTCCTCCCGACAGGCTGTGTGTTCTTCTGGCGGTCCGTGGTATTCAGTATTCTTCTCCAACGCTATAATTCAAACGTGTCAATTCTTCTGTGGGCTTCCTTATTCATTGTCCAGCTTTAAGATGCATATAAGGCAATTTGAAAAGACCGTGGCTTGGGTCAGATGC